AGCCGCGGACCGGGGGGGGGGGGACAGGCTGTAGGAGTGAGATACCGAGAGCAATTCGCGACGATGTTATTCGGCGCGGCTGCGTCCAGTTACGCTTGACAATTGTAAGATCACCCGTAATATAAGAGGGTATTTTCTTTCATCTCTGTAGATTGTGGATGACCACCGCTTTTAAAAATTTTGAAATTATAGCTATTGCAGGGATTTTTTAATCAATCCGTCCTGAATGATGTCTTTGAATGAAATTTTAATTGCTATTAAAAGCAATAATATACAGGGTGTATCTGAAATGATGCACTAAACTTTAGGAGCATATTCTAGAGGTCAAAATAAGAATTTTTTTCCTATGAACATGGGTCCGCAAATGAACCCCCCTCCGAGCTAGAGGCCCCTAAAGTGTGAAATCCTGTATAACTAGATAAAAGAAGCTGTGTAAAAATGATACACGGGAGATTCGAAATAAACTTCAACAAATATAAAACAGATGCAATTTTCTCTGTATAAATAACACTGCTTGAATTTTTAATTATTTCATTTTTTTTTGTCAATCAAAAATTTAAGACTCCTATCCTTCTTTTCCTCATTCTTTACTTCTCTTTAATAATAACTGAAAATTAACTATTTTAATTATTTTTTAACACTATTATACGTAATGGAGAGTGGTTATTTTATTAGATATCGCACATGACAAATCGATAGAGGAATATTTTGTCGCAAGTATAGCAACATTTTCAATCATATATATATCCGCAATCTTCATGAAAATATTTCTTATATTTGAAGACTCTGTGAATTCGAAATCTTTTTCGCCGCGACCATCGGCGTGGAGCCGTTTGCGGTCGACGGGTTTAATACGCATCATAAATTTTCAAGACTGTTTCGGAGCCCGCAGGTTGTTATTAGCGCAGAAACTCCTTCCATCACAGGTGTTAAATCCATTGTAACCAGAAACTTCTGTCTGGGTTTGTTCGCGTTGCCCAGGATCGCATCAACCAGTCGCTTTGTCAATAGAAAACGAGTTGCGAAGAACTTGGAACTTGACGTGTAAACGTGACGAACAATGCTTCTTGGGAATTTGCATTTCATTCCATATATAAAGATATTACGACGATGTAACTGCCGTTGATAATTCGTATCATTTGATTTTTTGCGCGGAGGGACATATTATAATCAGAAGCTTTTTTCATTTTACGTCTGCGACGATGAGAATCGAGTCCCATGTGATTAGAGAGAAAAAGAGAGAGAGAGAGAAATACACGTTCCTCGCAAAAATTTTCCAATTAAACATCTGAAAAGATTTTCGAGTCTCCCGCGCGCCAGATTAATTCACATGATTTAATTAACCGCGAAACCCGCGAAACTCACGAAAGCCGCCGGGTAATGCTTCTTAGGTTCTTTTAAACATTCCATAAAAACTATTTTAATTCCGCAGAACCCTTTCTCGCCTGGGAGGGCCGTCGCGAAATATTAGCGCGACCTGCGCGTATATAACGAGCGAACGTTCGCCTTTGCTGGCGCGCATCCCCCCACGGCCGGAGAGAGAGAGAGAGAGAGATGCGTAACAAAAGTTTCCCCTTTTAAGAGAGCAGGCGCGCGTAATAAGATATTTAATATCCCCCGGGTATAATTCGCCATAAAACAACGCGCGCCTTATCTCTCTCGTCGCTATTTTTATTCGCGACGCGAACGCGATTCGTGTAACTATAAAAACGCTGTGCTTTTTTCGTCCGACATACGGCTAAGAGAGACGTCGACGACGGTGCGTCCGCGAGTGCACGCGCGGCGTTACAGGTTACAGGGAAGATGCGGCGGATGAGGGAGAGGGATAGAGACGAGAACGCGGCGCGAGAGAGGACCGTGTCTGTCTCGGGGCAGGATTTACTACTGTTACAGCTACAAGCGCGCTCCTTGTTATGGGGAACTTTTGTAAGAGCCCGGTGGAGGATGCGGTGTCGCGTTTCGAGAGTTGCACCGACCGAAGCGAGACGAGACGCGGCGCCGAAAGGCGGTGCCCGTTCGCTTTATTAGTTTCTCGTTGCAGTTGTTTCCCATGGATGGATTCATACGCGCGAATTTATAACAAATAAATATTGCAAATATTTTCGGAGTACATTTAATTCTTTTTTTCTATCGATTACATTGTTCAACACCAAATTTGCTTTAAAGTTAAATTTGTTTTAAGTTTTATCAAGTCATTTTTGAGCGCTGATTACGAATCTGGCCGTAACAATGGCGTATCATGTCAAGTTTTTGAGAAAATTTCAGCCAAAGTTGCTAAAATAAGCGTTCCTGATACTTTTGCGTAAGGTATATTTTTCGATAAGGACGTGCTCCATAAAGCAGCGACAGCTCAAAATAAGGATTAAGACTTATACTTTATGATAAGAATGCTAGAAGTCCGAGGCAGAAAAGGTTTTCCTGAAAAAAGTGGTCGAAATATAAGAAACATCATTTATCGCAGTATCCCCCAGTCATACGTCTCCAATTGTACGTTACTAAAATACTAGTGCCAAAAACTACTCTAATTTTGTTCTTAAGTGACAAAAACCTACATATATCCACTTCCATGATTTGAATGATTTTTCAAAAATTTAATCCGCCATTTTATTTTGAAATTTCAACACGTGATTCGTGATAAGTGACCAGACAAACGTATACATACTGACTTTCATGACTAAAATGATTTTTAAAAAAATTTTAATAACGGGCAATTGGAGAGACGTATGACAGGGTGACACGGCGATAGATGTTTCTTATGTTTTGGCCACTTTTTTTCAGGACAACCTTTCCTGGCTGGGATTTCTGGCATTTCTATCATAAAGTATAAGTCTTGAGCTTCATTTTGAGCTGTCGCTTTCTGGAGCACGTCCTTATCGAAAAATATAACTCATGCAAAAGTATCAAAAACGCTTATTTTAGCAATTTTGACTGAGGTTTTTTCAAAAACTTGACGTGTTACGCCATTTTTATGGCCAGATTCGTAATCAGCGATAAAAAATCTACCAGAGATGATTTGATAGAACTTAAAGCAAAAAAAAAGATCTTATTTTGTCGACCACTGTTATTTCTTCAATGAAAATAATTGTGCAGGATGTTTTGTCATAAACTTTATTGGAAAAATCAATTAGATATTAATTTCGGTTTCCGCAGAGAGAATCTCAGCGTGCCATTCCTGATCTCATTAGCTCGGTCGTTCGATTCGGCCACTACATGGCCGAGATGTATACAGGAAACACGAAGTTTTCGTAGTATTACACCGTCGTTTCGTTAGTTTCGAAACATCCTATAATAATGTTGCCCTAATTCGTGTTCGCTGTCAAACAAGCGGCGAGTATAGGGACCGGTTGCAACAAGGTGGGTTAGCGCTTTAACCCCTGGTTAACTAAATTTACCTTCTCTGCCATACATAATATAGGTACAGCTACAATCCGGAAAGGGACAACGAATTGCTAACCCGGAGTTGGTTAACCTCGCTTGTCGGTGCGTTCCCGCCGTAGACATGCCACACGCGTTTACAGAGGTTTACACGCGTTACCATGGTTCTGTCTATTAACATGCAACAAATAATTTTGATCCGGGAATCACAATTTTAAGCTCTTTAGACTCAAATCGTGCCAAATTCATCACGCTTTGGAAACTTTACGTGTGTTCTTGAATGGACGTTTTTTTTCTTAATTTTATTCGCGTATTTATATTTTAAATATCAAGAGAAGTCAATTCTGTTTTCAAATCGATTTTATATGCGATTATGATATATTTGCGATCGTATATATGACATGTTATACCGACTAGTTGGAAGAGAAAAATAAACCTTTCAATGAATATTTAAATCAATTAAATACGATTAGCCACTTCGTACATAATTAAATCAGCCCGTCGTCTTCAAATGTAATTAGTTTCATTGGTATGATTAAAATTTTAGGACATACGGATTTAATCTTGCAAACCTTTAGAGCGATAAATTTGACATTAATTACATAATCGTGATTGCCCCGATTTAATCTGTCACCACAAAGCGAACAATTTCTTTCCTTCTTCTTGGCACGTGCGTCCTTCACATTGCAATGCGAAACGATTCGTGTCTTGCAGGGTACCTTTGTTCGCATTCAACAGTAGATTATAGGACACAGTAAATAAACCTAGACACGGTAGTGTGTTATTATTATAGTTACTATAACGTTGTTTGGACAATGTCTAATCCATTCCGCTTTAAGAATGTATGTATCATATGTCAAAACATTGACAAAAGCATGAAAATTTCGTAGATTATTCTACTATTTCTTCTGAGTATCTGTGCAAAACCTGAGTACAATTCTCTTAATAGTTCGTAAATTATTTAATTTTAAAGTTAATATTAATTCTTATGGAAAATAGTGTATTGTAGCACTTATTGACAAATTTGACAAAGAAAAAACATTGCTAACGAAATAAAAATGTTCACATATATTAAGAAAACTCTAATAAATATTTGTGCAAAATTTGATTTAGATCCATTTACTCGTTCAAAAGTTATTTACTAAAAATTGTAGAAAAATATTATCTCTCTTTTTGCAAATTATTTGTTTTTTTTTTGTTTGTTGCAGTTGATTTCAGGGGGTATTCATGATCAAAAATTTTTGTTATAAATTAGGAAAAATATTAATTACAACTATTTTCTTTTACGAAGACATTAAAAACTATATTATTTTGTGATATCTTAATTCCTTTTATAATCCGGATTTATTTATTTGATTTTTCAAACAGTATGAACGTAAGAAATATGTTCTTTTTTTATTTTGACAGTTTTTTGCTATTATTGTACAGCCAAAATATTCTTAAGCAACTCAAATTGGAATGGATTTGGCGAGAATCATCCGAACAAATTATAATATTGAAGAGATTGCCACCTAATCAATGTTGGACAATCGCCTCAGAAATATTATTTTAAGCTTAGCAGGTGAGTTATATTTGGATTTAATCATCATTTTTTTGGCCGTAGAATATTTATTTCAGACTGATGGTTAATTACGTTTTGGTTTGATTAGTCGATCTTCCGATTATTAATCCATTTCAATTAGTAATATCTACACATACTTTGAAATTGCATAAGCTAATCACAAAGTCATAAAGCTTTTCTAACGCATCTCTTATGTAACTAGTTTTTCACTAAAAAATACAAATTACGAGAGACTATAACACGCGAGATTAAATAGCTTATTCAATGTCAATTTTCCTTCTGCTTAAATGAATTTTTATTTCCTTTACAGAAAAGAATTTCAAAAGTTGTAGAGGCGTAAAATGAATATGTGCGCTAAAGCAGATTTATGATCATTTATGATCATTTTGATTGTAACAGGGACCCGATGTTTGTATTAATGTAATACAATATTGATTACCTCTCATCTTATAATTCACATAAAACCTCAACGACCGTCATCGCATTCGTGACGAGATCCACAACAACTTTGCTTATACGCATTCGTTCCCTGCGTGGGTGACACGTGGCGCATACTAGTCGCATTGTTGTAGCCATTAGTGCGATTCTTCTACCGCATAAACGAAATACTTACGGCTTAACGTGCATGTAATCCGAGCATGCGGCAGTTCGTACTTTATACAGCGTATATCGAAGGGAAAATAAAAAGATACACAGCGTATATTTCAACTTTCTTTTAATATGTATATTATAATACGTATATAACTTTTGTCACATACATTATATATATATTTTCTAGAAATTATTATGCATTTATAATTAGATTCATATTTTGAATAAAGCTTCTTTTAAAAAATATAGAAAATGTGGTTTTATTGGCAAATATTGTCCTTTTTAAAACGATCGATGTAATCCCGAAAGTTATAGTTCAATTTTTTAATTTTTTACAACAACCTATAATTCAAACTTTATTAATAATCGAGAAGTATTTAACAACTTTGTTTATTTTATGATTTATTAACATGGCGAGAAATTGATTTCAAGCAGTAATATGCTTCTACTCTTTGTGTTCGTAAAAAAATGCCTATTAAAAATGATTTTCATGTTACTAACACGCGATAGATATTAATTAATTCAACGAAAAAGCATTTATTGAGTTGCAAAATGTAAGTTTCCCGAGGAGAGAAGCCCCTTACACACACACACATGCCGGATATATTTTCTTCAGGACGCTTTTATGTCGCTAAAAGCAGCGCTATAAGGGATGTAAAACTGCTCTGTTGCAGAAATTCAATTTTACGTTCAACTTTAAGAAACGCGAGCTCAACCGTCGTCGTCGGCCGAGGAGCGCCTCGTAAAACGCTAACGTCGTCGCCAATTATGCGTGTCTCGCGGTTAAAATGTTCGGGATCGATATTAAATAATAATCGTAAAAACCGCGCCGCGTTGATACTGTTAGCGTGTACGCCTCGGGCCATCGGGAATTAGTATCGATTATCGATTTACGAGAAACGAACGCGAGATTCGCGTGCGTGCATGCCCGGGGTACCGTCACAAAGCGCATCGCTCGGGATAGATGCATCCGCGCGCACGTGTGCGGCTATGCATGCCGTATAAGGGGCAATGCGGAAACGTCAACGACGGACGGGGCGTGCATCGGGCATAAAATCGGATAGTGCAGTTTTTGCGTGGCAGCTGGTTACCAAAACGCACCGGTTCTTCGGGTTTACGGCCGCGCGAACGTGCCTCGCGTATCTATCGCAGGCAAACTCATCGCATTTGAATATTTAAGCGAGGAATCTCGATTATCGGTCGCGATATTTCCCAAATTGAGCTAATTAAACGGTTCAAAAATTTGCGTTAACAAGAATACATAGAGTATCTTCATCTTTAAAATTATATACAGTATATCGTGCTCTATTAGAGATAATTAAAGCTTTCATTTTTTCCTTTACGAATCTCAGTCTAATAACTGACAGTTTTCTCTCAGCTTTGTTATAAATTCGAAATTTTGATGTAAAATGTAGAAATATCTTGCGACTCTCCGATATATCGTGTATCCGAATTGATTCGAACTTGAATCTTTATAACGGCCATTAGACATTTACAATTCACGCGGAGATGAAGCGAGGCAGAAATCGCGCAACGTTATTAGTGGCAGTCGTTGAACGTGAAGAGGGTCGAGAAGAGGGGAAGCGCGACGATAGGATCGTGGATTCGTAAAACGGCGTATAGTCGAGCACCGGAACGCCGTAAATGCGCGGCGAACGCATAATCTTAAAAACGTAGGGGAAGATATGAGGGAGAGAGAGAGACAGAGAGAAAGAGAGAGAGAGAGAGCCGAAGGAGCCATCCCGCGTTTACCTCGGTCGGTTCGCGAGACAAGTGTATACCGAGAGACAATCATCCCGCTTCCCCTCTAACTTGCGGGGTATCAGGGGTGGGACAGGGGGTGGCTGCCGACCGGCCGGTTTCGACGAAGGAAGACGGATGCGCGGCGGCGGCGGCGACGGTGGCGGCGACGGCGAAACGTTTCGCGATACGAAGTGGAGCGATGTCGCCGTCGACGACGACATTTGGAACAGATAATGGCGCGAATACGCCGCGGGGGTGAACGAACCGCTGGGTTCAGTTGGGTCGGCTTGGGTTGGGTTGGTATCACATCAGCTATCGATCTTATAACGCCGTGCGGCCCCCGTTGTCTCCTCGTTCCATCCCCGCTCGCTCGCTCTCTCTCTCTCTCTCTTTCTCTTTCGCTCTCTCTCTCTCTCTTGCTCGTTCGCTCGCTCTTTCTCTCTCCGTTCTCACCCTATCGCTTTCCCTCCGGCGAGCCCTCCGTGTTTGTCGTCACCCTCTCTCTCTCTCTCTCTCTGTCTATTTCTCTCGGTCCTCTATTCCACGCGTGCCCTCTCCGCGTGTCACCTCTCGCTTCTTCTTCCGCCTGTTTCCTCCACCTGCGT